ACTGAATACAGATAAAACCTTACCCTTAGAGGAATTCCAGTAAGCTTCCTTTTACAGACTAGTCTCCTTCTAGTCTGGGTCCAGCAATCACTCACACCCCCTGTAGTTACTGTCCTTTGTTCCATTTTCTTTCAGGTATCCTTGGGGGTGGAGAGGCTCTCTCTTTAGCCAGCTGAAGACAAAATGGAGGGGTCTCCCAGGGATTTAAGTAGACTTGCTCTTGTGGGTGGAGACCCCCTCCTCTCTCCTATGCAAAGTCCAGCTCCAAGATGGAGTTTTGGAGTCACATGGGCAAGTCACATGTCCATGCATGACTGAGTTTCTTACCAGCCAAGCCACATTCCTGGGAAAGCTCCGATGTGGATTGGCGTCTTCGAGTTCATTGTTGGCTTAAGTGGTTCTTGATTGGGCACTTAATTTGCACATTCCTTTCTCAAGAAGCTGACCAAATGCTCTACTAGGCTAGTTAAAATCAAACAAGTACACAGCCAATATTCATAACTTCGATTACAAAAATGATATATGCATACAAGTAGGATAAATATATTCAGTAGATCATAACCTTTACATAGATATGTTACATGGCATATGTAATAAAAAACATTCCAGTTATGTCACACATACATTCATAAGCATATTTCCATAAAGCCTTATGGGGTGCACCATCACACTCTCCACCTCCTCTCCTAAAACCGTGGGACGATTCTTCACCCCAATTTCAAAATTCTTCGTCTCAAAGTGTGATTAAGCGAGGGCTCACTGGGTAGAGATAACCTGTTCACTCAATGTAAAAGGAGTGCTACTACACAATGGTAAACAATCTACTTGCTACATGTATTGTCAGAAATGGACACATTTTGCCAGTTGGTGTGGCCATAGACAGCATTCACCAGTGACTGCATCACTTCCAGATATACTAGATTACACCTTAGCCCTAAAAACTTCCGGTTTACTGATGAGCTCGATAAGAGCCCACCTAGTAGCCATCAGAGCCTTTCACACACACCCATACAGGGCTATTTCATCTTTAGCCTCCCAACTACAGGATGGTTCCTCAAACAGCTTGGAGACCTCTACCCAGTGGTCCAACATCCATCTCCAATATGGGACCTCAGTCTGGTCCTTAAATGCCTCACAAGACTTCCTTTGAACCTCTGGCTTCTTGTTCACTACTCCATCTGTTGACAAAGACAGCATTCCTGATAGTTTGGTGAGCTACAGGCCCTGATGGCATATCCCCCTTTCACAGTGTTTTTTAAGGACAAGGTCATGCTTCAACCTCACACCGAATTCTTACCTAAGATCTCTTCTGCAGTCCATCTCAGTCAGACAATTCACTTGCCTGTCTTCTACTCCAAACTGCATCTGAACCCCCAGGATGTAGTACTGCATACTCTGGATGTCAGAAGAGCTCTAGCTTTCTATCTAGACAGAACAAACCCCTTCAGAAAGACCGAAAAGTTATTCATCTTGATAGCAGACAGATAAATGGGTTGGCAATCTCTAGCAAGAGACTTTTCAAATGGATTTCACACTGCATTAGCTCCTGTTACCAATCTCACAACATTGAGCCACCCTAGCTCATATGCACCTATTCAACAAGGTCCATCGCCCCTTCCACGGCCTTCCTTAATAACGTACCAATCATCGAAATATGTAAAGCTGCCACTTGGGCTTCTGTGTGTATGTTCTCTGAACACTATGCAATCACCCATGACTCCACTCTGACACGATATTCAGCTCGATTGTACTCTCTGCTGTACTGGATTCAATTCAGAAGCCCCCTCCACCTTAGAGGGTACTGCTCAATAGTCACCTAGAGTGGAGCACCCACAGGGACACATATCTTGAAGAACCACATTTACAGCACAGGGTGAGTAACCATTTCTTATCCCATCAATAAAAGGATTGTCATCATCTGATTCCTCTTTAGACTTCAGCAGGAGGCCTTCACTGAAGAATAGAGCAAGTCAGCAACAAGACAACAATAACAGTAAAGGCAATACAAACTAGCCTTATTATGAATGTAAAGATTTAAGTTCTAATTACTTTCCTTGGTATCCTCCAAGTTGGGTGAATCAACTGTGGCATATTGACCCCCATGATCACAGTATCTACAACATTCAGGATGAGTTCCCCACAATACATGGAGCATACATGTAAGTCACTTAATTCAAGTTCTTGAGTGTCACATCATTCTCCTCCTTGGTTTGTGGAATCAGAAAATCAACAGAATTATAGTGATAAAGATTTCCCTACCTACTCAACTGGCGATGTGCCAACCAATCACTCTCCAGCCTGTTCCTCATTTCCTCTGTCAGGATGCTGGCAAGGTCCATCACCCCAATCTCCAGCTCAAGGCATGGCCCTTTGATGGTTCCAAAGCTTGGAAATGACCTATTCCCAGTATGTAAAGGTGATCCTGTTACATAGCAGGAAGCAAACTACTTTCACATATATGTTCAAAGGTGGAAGCAATTCTAACTTGGTGACTTGAAACACATTACTTCTACTTCTAAATCCTCTCCACTACCACTTGTGTGAGATTACATCCTAGAACTAAAGATGTCAGGATTATCTCTAAACTCCATAAAGGTGCATCTCGCAGCCATCACTGTCTTCCATCATAAGATAGAAGGTTGTTCTGTTTTTGCTCATCCTTTCCCAAGAAGGGTTCTCAAGGGAATGAGTAACCTCTTCCCGCAAACCACATGGTCTACATCGGCATGGGATCTCCTTGTCCTCAAGTGCCTTACAAGGCCTCCCTTTGAACCCATGCCCATCAGCTCTCTTCATGAAAACCACATTCCTAGTGTCCATTAGTTCTGCTCGGAGAGTGGCAGAGATTGGGGCTCTAATGGCCTACTCCCCCCCCCTTTATAATCTTTTTCAAAGATAAGGTTACACTATGACCGCACCCAAAATTCCTACCAAAAATACCTTCAGACTTTCATATAAACCAGCTTATCCACTTGTGAGTTTTTTTTCCAAAACCACACCAGGACAAAAGGGAGGCGACATTACACACGTGATGTCAGGAGAGCACTAGCCTTCTATTTGGATAGGACTAAGTCCTTCAGGAAAGCTCCCAGACTATTTCTCTTCATTGCAGACAGATCTAAGGGATCCTCAATCGCTAAACAAAGTCTCTCTAAATCGATATCAGACTGCATTACCTATTGCTATCGTTCTCACAACATTCAGCCTCCTCCTAGAGGATGAACACACTCCAGATCTCTCTCCACTTCCATAGACTTCCTCAAAAACATTCCAATCACAGAAATGTGCAGAGCAGTGACTTGGACATCTGCTCATACATATGGTGAACATTATACAGAATCAATGTCCAATGCCATATTTGGCTCCACTGTCTTATCCTCAATTCTAGACTCAATTCCTAAGCCCCACTCCTCCATTGGGGCACTGCTGCAGAGTCACCTGCAGTGGAGCACCTATAGGGACACTACTCGAAGAAGATAAGGTTGCTCACCTTGTGCAGTAACTGTGGTTCTTCAAAATGTGTGTCTCTGTGGGTACTCCACTACCTGCCCTCCTCCTGCCTGCTTTGGAGGTCTTACCAATGAGCTCTGAGATAGAGAAGGAACTGAGGATGGTTTGCCTGCAAAGCACTATATAGCCCTGATGCAGGGCATAAGACGGGGAAAGAGCAGAGTCAAATGGACACTGCTACCTAAAATCTCTGATCTGAGGCGCAGGAAGTCCAAATACACCTACAGTGGCACACCAATAGGGACACACATCTCGAAGATCTACAGTTACAAGATGAGTCAACTTTTATTTATTTTAATCTGTTTTTATAGTTAGTATCCAGCTAGTAGGGTGCTCTTGAAGGATTCAAATATATCATGAGGTTCTGATAATGATAAAGCTTTTGATACGGTCTCCCACAGTATTCTTGCCAGCAAGTTAAAGAAGCATGGGCTGGATGAATAAAATAAAAAAAGAGGACCCTCCACGGGCCCTGGCCCCGCCCATTTCCCACCCCCAGCCCCGCCCCAGCCCCGCCCCTTCCCCACCCAACCCAGCCTTAACTCCGCCCCCT